TGTATCTTTGGCTGTCAGGGGGAAGATAGTTCCATAATACACCTGCTTCTGGGTTATCTTCTCCCTGCTCTGGCCTGGAGAATGTGCTAAAATGAAATGATCCAGAAGCAACATACCCCGAAGACCCCGTGGAGAAGGGAAACTTCTGTGGTTCTGCACTGGCTCTTGAGTCCAGGTCATCACCTGTGGAGGATCAAAGGCATAGTGGGTCAGGGATCTCTCCTGAACGGCCCACAAGTGCTCTGGATTCAGCATCTGCAATGGTCCTCAATCTCTTAAGGTTATTTCATCTACAATGGTCCTCAATCTCTTAAGGTTATTTCAATAGAAATTCAATGTCGGATAATTCTAGCTGGGGTCTACCCTCCAATCAAAGGCAGGGGTGTGTGTGTGTGTGTGTGTGTGTGTGTGTGTGTGTGTGTACAGACAGGGCACCTATGGGAACAAGAATCAGATCAGCGTATCTTCTCAACCCTCTGACTTAGTTTAACTCCTACATCTAGCCTATGTTGTTTGTAATGATACGGGACCTCTGACCTTTCCCCTAGAAAAGCAATGAGGAGACCAGATTGCCAGGAATGGACGCCCATAGCCCCCTCAGAATGTCAGAAGCAAGCTTTGTACAATGTGCACCAAGCCTCAGGAGGCAGTGTCTGAAAACACTAAACCAAGGAAGCCTGCCTAGCAGAAAAGCAGAGCGAGCTTGGGATAGATCCATTCTACTAGGTACCCCGCCATCCCGTCAGCTCCCCCTGCCCCATGTTGGTCAGTTCTTCCAGGAGCCATCCAGACCAGGTAGCTTATAATCAGCTTCCAGAATTGGGACTGCACAGCATGGTAGGAGTCCTCAAGTATGGAATCACAGGAACACTCCATTGGCTCTTCCGTGGAACTTCTGGTCTGGCACACAGTGCTTCAGGTAAATTAGGGATGCAGTGTTTGGGATGGAACCCAGGACCTTTCATATTCTAGGCAAGCATTCCACCCCTAAATTACATCCACAGCCCTAGGTATTTTGAGACATGATCTTATTATGTAATCCAGGTTGGCCTGATTACAACTGCATCCCTCTTGCCTTGTGCTGGAACCCCATCTAGGGGTGTTGAGGGAATGAGAGAAAGAAGCAATAGGCATGTACAGAGGAGGTGGGATACTGGCAAACTAAAATTCTCCAAGATCTGCTAAGAGCACAAACATGGCTGGGCGGATTTGATGGTGAAGCAACCTAAAATTTCTATTTCCTGCCAGTTCCCTAACTTATTTAACCCTGCATCTTGTCTTGTTTCTTTTTCAGTTTTGGTGGGCAGGGGCTGCCTTGTTTGTCCTATAAAGGGTCATTTGTAGCCCAGGCTAGCCTGGAACTCACTATGTATCTGAGGATGACCTTGAACATCTGGTCCTCCTGCCTTCACCTACCAAGTGATCTGGTTAAAGGCGGTTGCCTCTTTACAACCCTTCCCTATGGTTTTGTATGTTCTCAGCCTGTGGTCTGTTCTGACATTTTGATCTTTTCTGCCAGATGTCCGACAGTTGAAAACTGGTACCTCCCATTCTGCACAGATAATTATTGCACATATCAGGGGAAATTTGGGGTTAAGCGATCTCCAATGTTTTTAAGATGATCGTGAAAGTAGGGTACTTCTGCAGAAAAGCAGAAGTGTAGCCCAGAAAGGAGTTTCCACCCAACTGAAGAGAAAACCCCAACTTTTTTGGAGAGTTCCCTAGTACCCTGTCAGCAACAGCTACTTAGGGAGACACAACTGGGCAGCAGCCAGCAGCCCTCAGTCAGGGGCCAAAATGCCTCTCCATCTACCACCTCCCTTCTTGGCAATGTTTGGTTGGCTCATACCTCTATCTTATTGGTTCCCTCTCTTCAAGACACCTAATCATTGGTAAATTCAACCAGTTCCTGCGGTTCTGATAGGCTGATCTGCTGTTAGGGTAAAGGCCCTAGAGTGATACTGCTTTCTCAGATGTGGTAACTTCTGACCTTGAACACTTTTTCTTTACCCCTAATTCTGTTCCCTTTGACCTTACTCCTACCCCCAGGGAGACTCTTCTTATGTGATTGCACAATAAACTGTCAATCCAGGGGTGCCCTGGAGACCTCAATGTTCCTATCTTTGGACTTTTTGTCATGCCAAAGCTCGATTTTTTTTGACCCAAGAAGGCAAGGCAAAACTGGAGCAATCTGACTTTTCAGGGTCAAGAACACACACCCTCACCATACTGCACAAGAGATCATGTATAAGCACTAGGTCCGTCTAAGAGCCACTCATGCAGGAAGGTACAGCTTTGATGACAGTAAATGCAAGAAACGGAGGAGCTTGCTAGAACAATCCCAGAGTGCTAAAAGTTGCCATTCTGCCTGAAATCCACAAGTTAAAATTGAATTTATTTATTTGTTTATTTGAAACAGACAGGGTTTCACTATGCAGCCTGGAACTCTCTGTGTAGACTAGGCTGGTCTCAAACTTTACCTGCCTCTGCTCCCCAGATGCTAGAACGAAAGGCAAACACCATTATGCCTGGCCCCATCAGTAAAATGTATTCCTTTATAAATTTTCTTCTCTCAAAGCTCGGTTAGTTAGCCAGGCCGCAATGGCACAAGCCTTTAATCTCAGCACTCAGGAGGCAGAGGCAGGCAGATTTAGAGTGAGTTAGAGGTCAGCCTGGTCAACAGAGCTAGTTCTAAGATAAACCAAGGCTGTACAGAGAAACCTCCTTGTTAAAATATAAAGAGCCCTAGAGAGGGCAATGTATTAAGCAGCATATTCCAAGATCTGTCCTGAAAGAAGAGTATGGAGAAGTTTCTTTATGATGAAATAATTTTAGAGATACCAATGTGTGTTTTCAATCCAAGATAGGTAGAATAATGGCCCTCCCAAATCGTTCCTGTGACTATGTTACCTCCTATTGCCAAAGGGACTTGGCAGATGTGATTAGGGCTCAGGACTGGGAGATGTGAAGGTTATTCTGCATTGTCTAGGTGAGTCCCATCTAATCTAGTCTAGTCCCATCATGAGCCTTTAAAAACAGAGAAAATTCCTTGACTATGATAGAGAAAGACATGAAACGAGGAAACCTGGCCAGGGAGAAGCTAGATCCCGGCATTGAGGATGAAAACGGGAAGCAAGAACCAGAGGGTGCCAGTGAAGCTTCTAGAAAACTGGCAAAAAAAGAAGCACATTCTTGCAGGGTGGTGGCAGTGCACTCCTTTAATACCAACACTTGGGAGACAGAGGCAGGTGGATCTCTGTGAATTCGAGGCCAGCCAGATGTACAGAGGGAGTTGGGTTTTTTTTTTTTTTTTTTGGTTTTTAAAGACAGGGTTTCTCTGTGGCTTTGGAGACTGTCCTGGAACTAGCTCTGTAGACCGTCTGGTCTTGAACTCACAGAGATCTGCCTGCCTCTGCCTCTGCCCAGCCTATCAGGAGCACCTTATCATCATTTAACACTTGCTTTCTAGATGATGGTTAGGTGAGATAATGAACATAAGTCAGGCCCATTTTGTTGGGGCAGCACAGAGGACCACAAGGTGAGGCTGGAAACAGCCTGGACAGCAGTGACTGGAAAGGAGGTGGGATTCAAGCGCAGACACAGCAGCTCCTACAGAACTTTGTGCCCTCATCAGTAGACTGGACTGACTTTCCCTTCAGCCTCACTGACTTCTGAAGAGACATTTCCATAGCTTCCCTTTCTACTCCAGAGCCTAGTTGCAAGCTCCTCTATGCTTCTGTGCCCCCCACCTTTAATTTGCTTCTGGCCTGGGTATCAATGCACTGAAATTGCTGGTTTATTTGACCCTTTCACCGACCTCATCTTCTCCGTTCCAGCAATGGCTGGAACACAGAGGCTCTCCAGCTGAGCCTTTGTCTTATCCGATTTCCACTAAAAAGGTGTGAAGTGGGCTTTTCAAACCTCAGAGCCCACCCCCCAAGTGACACACCTCCTCCAATGGGATCACACCTCCTAATCCTTCCCACAGGGTTCCAAGTATTCAAATATATGAGCCCATGTCATTCAAACCCCCACAGGTCTTATCCAGCCTAACCAGATTTCATGTTCCAAGTAATTTTTACTCTCATTTCCCCCCTCTCCCTCCCTTTCTGTTCTGGACGGGTCTCCACCTAAACTAAGCTTTTATATGTCTGTTTGTATGTCTCTCTCTCTCTCTCTCTCTCTCTCTCTCTCTCTCTCTCTCTCTCTCTCTCTCTCGTGTGTTTGTGTGTGTGTGTGTGTGTGTGTGTGTGTGGTCATGGGGATTAGACACAGGGCCTGAATATATGCAAGACAAGTGCTTCCCACTGAGCCTCTAGAACCTCACCACCCTTAAAAGCAAGCAAACAAAACAGACAAAACAAACAAACAAACAAACAAACAAAAACAACCCACAACTTTTTGTTTTGAAATAAGGTCTTCCTTGAATGGTATTGAACAGACAGATCCTTGTATCTGACTTTTGAGTAGCTCAGATACAGGCTTGTACCAAGCCTGATCTTTAGCCTCGGGGAAACAAGCAAGAAACTTAGCCTTGTTGTATTCTGTGTTGTCTGGCTAGGCTGTGTGGTAAGAGATAAACTGAGAACTAGAATCTAACTTTTTTAAAAATTCAAGGGTTCGATGGGAAACAGCTGGGTGAGAGTGGCCTAAGGATCCCTGGACAAGTGTGTGACCTGGGGCAGACAGCAAGACCTAGGGGAACACGATCACTTGGTCTGAGCAAGCCAGAAGAGCCAGGCCAGACACATGTACTCAAAGACATAACACTCAAAACATCAAAGAAACCCTTGTTCTTATGGTGTCTCTCGCTGGATTCCAATATTTGCCTTAGAGCAGAAACTCAGAGCGTTTGAACCCACAGAGAATTCTTAGTGCCCCAATCTGCTGAAGCGCCTAAGAGCTCCTCAACCCCGGAACTACAACTCCCATGTGCTCAGCGCAGCGCGAGCCTTTAACCAAGGACAAACTACAATCCCCAGAATGCTTTGGGAGAGGGGGCGGCGAGGGACCGTTAAATTTGAAACTTGGCGGTTTCGGCGCGATGGGGCGTGAGGTGTCGCCTTTGGGACAGAGTTGCGTGCACGCTTTCGTCTAGGAGCACGGGAAGACAGTCTCCGCAACTCCAGGACCAGCTGAAGGTTGAGGAAGGAAGGCCAGATAGTCGACACCCGGGGGAAAAAGGTCTGCGGACGGGCGAGAGCAAGAACCGGGAATGCAGGATGGCGGCGGCCAGGAAGGAAGGGCTTGCAGCTAGGTGAGTACCGGAGTCAGGCTGCTGCAGCTGGGTGCTTGGTGGGTGAGGGGTGGATCGCAGAGGTCGGGAAAGGGCAGGCCCTCCCGAGCCCCTTTCCTGACAGCGTGGAGCCCTGCATCCAGCCGCCCGGCAAAACTGAGAGAGCTTGAAATTTGTCTTAAGATCTGAGTCTGCAACTTACTTTAGCTGTTTTGTTTGATCTTGAACATGCCTTATATGGGAGTCGTGTAGATAGTAATGCTGCTGTAAGTAACTACTTTCAATTAATAGGTGTTTAATTATGCCAGTAGCACAGGGATCTAAAAAGCAGAACATTTGCTGCTTTTCCTCATATACAAAAATATAGAGGTTTTCTAGGTTAAAACTTAATATGCATTTTAATTATGGAATCCATAATAGCTGGGTTATTGCCATGTCATAAGCTTTCATTCATGTAATAATTTTTATTGACCACCACATGAACACTGAAGGTGGACAATAAAAGACACAAAATTCCAGCCCTTGTGAAGCCTAAGTTCTAGGAATGAAATGGGGGAAACAATGAATAAGATACATTTAAAATCAGAAAAGCTACACAGAGAAACCCTGTCTCGAAAAAACAAAACAAACAAAAAAAAATAAAATCAGAAAAATCCGATAGCAGTCAGTATTAAAAGATATAACGCAAGAGATGACAGGAGCATTGGAGGTGGGATTTTGCGGCTGCTGAAAAGTTTGGATCTGAGGCTGTACTCACTTGCCCAGGATACACAAGGCCTAGGGTTTGTTCCCTAGCACTGACAGGGAAAAAAGATTTGAACAGAATCCTCACTGATGAGATGGTGTTTGGGTCAAAACTAGAACTAGTCATGGACATGGCTCTGCAGATAGAGTTGATTGCTACCAAGACCGAGAACCTCAGTTTGGTTCCTAGGACCCCCATATGGTGGAAGAACCAATTTTGAAAAGTTGTCCTCTGACCTCCACACACTTGCTGTCTGTTGTACACTCACATGACGCACGCGCGCGCACCCGCGCATACACACACACACAGACACGTAAATAAATCATTAATTTTAGAGAACTAGTCATGTTTGTATTGTAGAAATGTAGGAGGGGAAGCTGCTAGCTGGCATGGTCATTGTCACTGGGGCACCATGAACCTAGATAGTAGAAGGCATTGAGTATGGGGCTGGAGAAATGGTTCAGCCATGAGAGAGGCTGACAACCAAAATGTCAAGGTGAGTATGCAAGCACAGTAATGCCTGAGCTTTTCATTTGGTTGTAATGGAAAGCCTCAAGGATGTATTTTAGCAAAGCAATGATCTGACCTCCATTTAAGAGGGATTTATTAGTGTGCAGTGTTGATTGGATTAAAAACAAAAAAAAGATGGAGACCCACAGACCAGTGAAGACCTCATTGCACTAACCTAGGGAAGAGAGGGGGGTAGCTGAGAAAGACTGAAAACAATGGAGATGTTGAGAAGTGATAGATTTCTGGATTTTTTTTTTTTTTAAGATAGGGTTTCACAACACACTATGCAGCACTAGTTAGCCTCAAACTCTGCCTCCTAAGTGCTGGAACTAAAGGCTTGTGCCACCATACCTGGCTTCTATTTCTCTGTTCTATTTATTTATTTTTGGTTTTTCAAGACAGGATTTCCTTATGTAACCCTGACTGTCCTGGAACTCACTCTGTAGACCAGGCTGATCTCAAACTCAGAGAAAGCCACCTGCCTCTGCCTCCCAAGTGCTGAGATTCAAGGCATGCACCATTACTGCCCAACTTATTTCTGTTTTAAATTGAAAGTTAAAACATGGCATATTAGTCTGACTAACACAAATTTCAAATTACACCAGATTGTTCCATGTTAGACTTAAAACTGCTAGCTTTAAAAAAAAAAAAATCTGCGTTGCTAAATTTATGATACTTTTAAAAATTATTTTTTCCTGGCTTTAACTTTATTTGTATAATATTGTCAACAACGCCCTTGCCAAGTTCTCTCTTCTGTTAGGCATAAACTTGGAAACCAAGTGGTAGGCTCAGAAGCTGTAGAGAATAATAATGCTACCAGCGTTCCAACTCTCTGCATCCAATCCGAAGGTCACAGAAATTCACCTGTGTGAAGGTGGTGACACAGTCTGGTACTGTGTAACACTGTTGGTGTCAGGGTCACTTCTGTTCCTTGTTCACAGTGAAGCCATGTCCCTGGAGGGAGATGAGTGGGAGCTGAGTAAAGAAAATGTACAACCCTTACGACATGGTCGGATCATGTCTGCGCTTCAGGGAGCTTTGGCACAGCAGGAGTCAGCCTGTAACACTGCTCTTCAGCAGCAGAAAAGGTATGTGGTAGAACTATCAGGGTCCAACTTGTTGGTCCCAGCTGTGGTAGAGAGCATGGGTATGAAACTGTAGAAAGTCCTAAGGAATTCTCTGATTGTAAACTCTCTTTTAAAAAGATTTATTAATTTATTTAGTTTTTCAAGACAGGGTTTCTTTGTAGCACTGGCTGTCCTGGAACTCACTTTGTAGATCAGGCTGGCCTCAAACTCACAGAGATCCACTTGTCTGTGTCTCCCAAATGCTGGGATTAAAGGCATGTGCCACCATTGCCCGTTAATTGCAAGCTTTTTAATTGCATGAGATAGTGTTTATTTCAGGTTAAAATGTAATGTGTAACCATATTCACTGCGTTAGATCTTTGAAAGCAGTGTTTTCATGATTTTGCTGTAGAGGCATAGTGTTCTTTTCTTATTTTGGGTTTTTTTGTTTTGTTTTTGTTTTTTGAGACAGGGTTGCTCTGTAGCTCTGGCTGGCCTAGACCTTACTATGTAGTTCCAGTCTGGCTTTGAACTCAGAGAGATCTGTCTGCTTATGCCTCACAAGTGCTGGGATTCAGCATGTGCCCAGTGGTATTTTATTTATTCTTAATGCTTGTTCCTGGCGCCTGCATTGATCCTGTTCTTATTTCTCTACTTGTCTGATTGGTGTTGGACCCCTGATATGTGGGCCCAGTCTCTGGCCTCAGCTGTGCTTTCACAGCTACCATTGACAACTCTTGCCTTCTCAATGTCTTTTCCCTGTAACCTGTAGACAGTCTCAAGCTTGAGAAAATTCAGCTTATGATTTTATGTAGATGTGGAAATGATAATCATTCAATAGAAGCCATACTTTGAATTTTGATCTTTTCAAGGATGGAGGGATACAAAGTAGGACTGCTTTGAGATGCCTGGTGGTTGCAGAGAGGCGCGCTATCCAGTGACCCTGCATCTCTGAGAGGCTGAGCCATATACAATATGCTGTGTTGCTAAGTTGTGGTATCTGGCAGGATAGATGTATTTATTGCATTTTAACCTAGGGTATTTTCTTTTTCTCTTCCTTTTGAGTTTTATTTATTTATTTATTTATTTATTTATTGTGGTTGGACCTTTTTGTTGGGACCACCGGGTCCTCACTAATGACACAGAGACTTATTAATTATAAAAGCTCAGCTGTAGGTTAGGCTTGTTACTAACTAGCTCTTACAACTTTAACCCATTTCCATGGGTTCAATTACGTATTGTCACATGACTCGTGGCTTTACCTGTCCTTCAGTGTGTCTTGGTCCTGGCAACTCTGCCTTTCTTCTTCACAGTGTCCTGTGCCTGGCTGTTCTGTCTATACCTTCTGCCTAGCTAGTAGCCGTGGCCATTTAACTTTTTATTAAACCAGTAAGAAGGAAACTTGGCAAAGACATATCTTCACAGTGTACAAAAAGATTATTCCACAAGTATTTATTTATTTATTTATTTTGAGACAGACTATTTCTGTATAGCCCTGGCTGTCCTAGGAACTCACTCTGTAAACCAGGCTGGCTTCAAACTCACAGATCCTCCTGCCTTTGCCTCCTGAGTGCTGGAATTAAAGGCTTGTACCACCACTGCCAGGCTACCTAGGGTATTTTCAACTGTGACAGGTTTAACTGGATATAATTCTGTCATTGGATAACAAATCTCTTCACTCCCAAATGACCCTCCTTTTTCTACTTTCCCATTTTGGTTAATGTTACAAAAACTCATCTGAAGGACTCTTAATTCATTGCTCTCTGATTTCCCTTTTGTAGAGATAGACACTATTTTCTTTTCGTGTGTGTGTGTGTGTGTGTGTGTGTGTGTGTGTGTGTGTACACAAGTTCCCAAGGAGGTCAGAAAGGGCTTTTATCCCTGGGAGCTGGAGTTGTAGGCTGATGTGAGCTGCCCAGCACGTCTGCTCTGTACCCCTGAGCCATGTCTTCAGCCCTTTCATCATTTCTGGGATTGGTCCAGGGCCTCCTGAATATCAAGCATACATATTACCATTGAGTCATTCCCACCTCCCATTTCTTTTGAGTATAATGTAGGTAAGTGAATACTCAGACTTTTAAGAATGCTAGTCAAGCCAGTCAAGCAGTGCATTTCGTCATTACCCTGACTATAGGATACTCTCCCCTCCCTCCCTCCTTCCCTCCCTCTCCCTCCCTCTCTCTCTCTCTCTCTCTCTCTCTCTCTCTCTCTCTTTCCCCTCTCTGTGAAGCATCCACTGATTAGGTTTCTGTCAAAATAAGCCACTTTGCCTGTTCTGGAGTTTCGTTGTTTGTTTGGGGCAGGGCCTTGCTCTGCAGCCTAGACTGACTTTAGCTTGTGGTCAGCTCCTGCAGTCTCCCAGGTGATAGACTTGCAGGTGTGTGTCAGCACATCCAGCTTATTGTAGAATTTTATATAAATAAAATGGTTGTTTGTTTGTTTCTTTGTTTATTTATTACTCTTTTGGTTCTTTACTCTTTGGGGGCCACTACCCAGCTCCCCAATGATCACACATGGAGATTTATTCTTTTGTACAAATGCCTGGCTTTAGCTTGACTTGTTTCTAGCCAGCTTTTCTTAATTATCTGTCTACCTTTTGCCTCTGGGCTTTATCTTTCTCTATTCTATATACCT